GGGGCCCTCGTGTCGCCCCCTGGTGCCCACCGGTTCGGAAGAGCCCCCAGCATCCTAGGCCTACGTGCTTGGAGTCCTTGCTGGGCGCCGATCCTGCCTCCTGTCCGTGGTCCCGGAGTCAGGGAAGAATGATGTCATCGCTGCCGGCGCGGAGGGGATGGAAGGGGGAGGGCGATGCACGAGGCCGGCCTAGGGGAGACCAGACCCATTGGCCACCGTCCCAGGGCGTCTACCTGACTGGCTTGTACATCCGCCGGGCGAGAGACGCCGAGGCCTGGCGGCCGCGTCTTTCCAACTGGGAGAACGAAAGGGAGAAAGGAGGGAGTGCCCGGCTCTTTTCGCTTTGCTTTTCCTTCTCCTTTCCCCCTTGGAGCCCAGGTGGGAGCTGGAAGGAGGCAAGGCAGGCCAGGAACCTGAAGGTGTGGGTGCCCTCTTCTATGAGCTCAGCTAGAGCTGAGCAGAGCTCTCCAGGTCTTGAAGATCTGGGGTTCCCTAACCCTCTTCCCTCTGTGTTAAGCGGAGGTGAGGAACAGGTTCTACCCTTGGGACCCCTGCCCCTGGCTGACAGATGTGCTTTGTGTCTTTCTGAGCAAGTAGTCTCTCCATTACAGCAGCCAAGACAGACCTTGGCAGGGACCCATGACCAACTCTAAGCCACACCTTTTGGGGGATGGTAGAGAGAATCATTAGAGGCCACCTAGCAGGAGATAAGTGTCTTTTTTCCCCTTTTGTGACTACTTAGTTCTAGAAGCCCGAACAGAGAAGCTCTACAGAAATGTAATATTAAACTGAGGTGAGAGATGCTGCTGGACTTTTTTCCAACCTGATGCCATCGTTGGGTCATTTGAGGGCCAGAAAATCCTGGTTGAGAAGTCTGTCCCATGAACTTGAAGAACTTTGGGCTGGGCTAAGAGAACACTCCTTTCTGAATTATCTTTCCAGCCAGCCTGGCTTGTCAAACTAGATTGCCCTTCCAGTTGTACGTATCTAATCAAGAATCAAAAGGGAGGGCAGATGAAGGAGGAGAAGGCCCAGGTGAATGAGAAGAAAGCAATGAGTTGGTTCTTGCCTCCCATCTGGGGTTCCTAAGGAGAGAGGCAATAGCTATCCGTGGAGAGGGGAGAAGGAAGGGGTCGCCAGGTTCTCTCAGTTGTCCCTGATGCCTCTGTTTTTGCCTGAAGTTTTCAACGATGGTTTGAGTGAGTAGTGTCCTCAGAAGACTCCTGGGCTGCTTCTGATCTGTGTGGCTCTGAAGTAGAAGCGCTTACGGCAAGGAGGCACTTATCAGAAAAGCTGTGACCGCCTTCAGACCCTTTTCTTGAAGGCTAAAGGAGCCCTTCTCTGCAAGAGGATACTTTGTTGAGGTTGAATGAGAGCCTTATGGAAGTAGCAATACAGTCATCCGCCATTTGGGGGTCATAGCCATTGCCCTGCAGATCTCTGCCTCTCCACCACTGTTCCCAGGTCAAAGTCTAGAGGATCCCCAGAGCTCCTTAAATGCTCTTTGTATTATTGAGACCAGCAGAATCTTGTGTGGAGTTTCCCCAAGAATCTTCATTTCGGGGCATAAGGAATCAAGGTGGCATACTGCAGAAGAGAAGGGCAAAGTGGCCCTTTAGGGGTGTTTGGGTAGACCTTAAAAACCAGGGTCTTGGGGCTTCCCTGGTGGCGCAGTGGTTGGGAGTCCGCCTGCCAATGCAGAGGACACGGGTTCGTGCCTCGGTCCGGGAAGATCCCACGTGCTGTGGAGCGGCTGGGCCCGTGAGCCATGGCTGCTGAGCCTGCGCGTCTGGAGCCTGTGCTCTGCAACAGGAGAGGCCACAACAGTGAGAGGCCCGCATACCGTAAAAACAAAAAACAAAAAACCAGGGTCTCAGACTCAGCTGTGACCTATTTCGTCTTTTGCCATTATTTATTAAGACCTCTAGGAAATCTCTCTTCTCTGGACTCAGTTTCCCAGTTATGAAATGAAGACAAACTATTTCTTTAAACAATAGCTCCTCACTCTTCCAAAGAATATCATAGTGACCTGATATCATTGATTCAGCAAACTCATTCACCAAATATTTATTGAGCATCAGCTCTGTTCCAGGTACTGTACTAGGTATTGGGGACACAGTGGTTAGCAACATAGGGACAGACATAGCCCTGCCTCCTGGAGCTCACAGTTCAGCAGAAGTTATTGTTCTTGCTCACCCCCTCAGTGTGAGTCCCTCTGAGGGCAGAGGCGGGGCTGTCTCCTTAAGCCCTAAGGGAAACAAGGTAATGCTTGTGTTGGTATCATTGCCTCTTTCTGGACCAAGCTGTACCGATAGTGGCCTGTCACATGGGCTCGATCATCAAATAATGCTCTCCCACCCATAGTGGCTGGAAGAATCCAGAGGCCATTCCTTACTTGGAGAGATGAACTCTAGGTGGAAGACATCTTTTTTAAAATTTACTTGAAAGAGAAACTCGCACTTGAAAAGGAGGCCTAGGGGAGTGGCAGAAGCTAGGAGAGAAGGCGCAGCCAGCACATCTGGGTGTTTCCAAGGTGCTAATTTAAGCATAGTTCTCAGCTAGTGGGAGGAAGAGGAAGAGATCCCTGCTCTGTTGTTGCTGCTGCTGTTGCCACAGCTGCATGGAGCCTCCTGTCTGGGGTGGAGTTTGCCTGAAGGGAGTTGCCTCCCTACTTTCCTCATCACACCAATTATTTAATTGGCCTGGCTGCATCACAGCAGCTGAACCAGGCCTGGGCCTATCCCTGAGAGCTCCCCAAGGTCTCTTTCTGTCTCCTTATGAAAGGAATGAGAGCTCCTCTGGGAGACCTAGTCCCTGGGTTCCACTCCTCCTGTGTCTATCTCCTACAATCCTGAGTGTTTCTGAGCACAGATTTTTGCAAAGACAGGGATAGGCGCACCTTGTATGTCAGTTCTATGGCCAAGCCACACACCTTACTGATCTAGGGAAGCTCCCAGCTGTCCAAGGCTCTCTGTTGAGCAATTGTGTTGAATTTGGGCTATTGTTTGTATGAGCAGCAGGGATAGGCTCTCTGGCCCTACTGTCTGTCTGCTGGGCCTCACAGTCTATGTCTTCTCTTTGGCTGTAATGGAGAGGAAGAGATTTGGTGGGGTGGGGGGAAAAAAGCATATGGCACCGGACAGGGTCTCTGTGCTCTTGAGAGAAATACTAGTCTGGCCTCACTGAAACCCAGGTTATCTGTCAACTCAGTTGTATAGTTCACGAGCATATGCTCAGTTCCAGGTACTTTACAGATAAAGATAAGTGAGATCTCTCCAGGGGGTGGCCAGGAGAAAGATGGGCTCAAATGGCTACAGGAAGGTTTTTGATACATGTTAGGAAAAAGAGTGACACCTTGCTTGGGAGAAAATGAGGAAAGCTGAGGTTCTGACTCTTTGACCACGTAAGCTTCGAAAGGAATTTCAGACTCCTCCTGACTCCTTGCACTCAGGGATGGAGATGGTCAGGACATTAATTTAGTGAGTGGATCATAGCAGCTCCTGAAAGTGGCAGAGGGAACATTGTAAAGCTAGCAAGAAGCCACTATGGAAAATTGACCTACATGTATTCTGTGGTCTGGGAGCCTTAAGTCATCTCCTTGTAGTAAAATGACTCTTCAGTTTAAGGGTGGATTCTCCTAATGGTCCATGTAACTCATGACCCAGTAGCATTTCTCAGGTTCTAGGAAGAGGCACATCATTCTCCCTCTTCCTGTATTGCAAAGTGAGGATCAGGTTTGCTCAGGCCTCCAGCTCCTCCCTTATTGCTCATCTCCTCAGTCAACAAACACTAAGAACCTACTTTCTGCTGTTGTGCTGAGCTCGATACCACAGCCTCTTGCTCCAGGGACGGATATACACAGTCAAGACAGGGTGATGAGCACTGTAAGAAGTAAGAACCAGGTCCAGCAGCACCAAAGAAAAACAGTAAGGCCTTTCATCAAGTAGTCAGGGAAGGCTTCACAGAGGAGACTTTGCTG